TTGTTCAAAGTCAGAAGTTAGGAAATGGCTAAACTAATATTCAAGATACGATTTTTTTACTTCAAAGACCATTCTAATAATCATTACACTAAGCAGTCTTTCTGTTACATGCAAGACAGTGTGCTAGAATCTGGGATAAAACGTGAATAAGAGAGAGCTGATTAGGAGCTCATAGTCCTGTGGGGGACATGATTCAAAATGGTGAAATAATGTTGACACCACACTGATTTTTCTGGGGGCTTTGGGGGCTGCCTAAGGCAACTCCTAGGGAAGGGATCCTCAACTGATCTGAGCTGCATCTTAACAGAAGAGGAGTAGGCGTGAACCAGGTGCAAAAGAGGTCGAATTAGGAATCCACCCAGGTAGATGGGCAGCAGGTGCAGGAGCGGAGGAGCTACAGGAGCCCGCTGGGAACTCCTGTTCTTAGAATTCGTGGTGTAAAGCCGGGTGAGGATGGAGCTGGCAGTGGGGACCAGTCATACAGGGAGGACTTTGAAAGGATTTTGGCCACAGGGATAATCCTGGAAGCTCCTTAGAGGAGAGATCGAAAGAGAACAAAATACACGACAGGGGAATAAGAGGAAATGAGGACATCTCAGTCAAGACATAAAGAGAGTCTGACCCAGGGTGGTGGCATCAAGGATGGCACAGACGCATCGGGTAAGAGAAATATTTAATAAACAAAACTGCAGGACTGAGTGCTTGGATCTGAGCAGAATGAGGGAAAAGAAGGAGTGAAAGGTAGACTTCCAAGTTCCTGGCCAGAATGAATGGAGAAGCTACGTTGGCAGAAACTTTGGTACAGAACATAGGGGGAGGACTTCAGTTTTCACATTTTGAGTTTGAGGTGCGTCGGATATTGAGGAAGAAATGTCTAGTTAGTGGTTGACTGTAAGTTTGAAGCTCAAGAGTGAAGATGGGGCTGGAGGTTGGGATTTTTTAATCTTTAGTATGTGGGTGCTAATGAGACTAAGGCAGGACCTTTAAGGCAACTTACTAGTACAGACATTCTTTCCAGGGACAGCAGATTACCTCAGTGAACTTGTATTGGGCAGAAGTTCTGTAGCCTTTCCCTTGTAGTACATTAAAACTTCAGATGGTTGGGGCACCTGCATGGCTCAGTCGTTAAGTGTCTGCCTTCGGCTCGGGTCATGATCCCGGGATCCTGGGATCAAGCCCCGCATCGGGCTCCCTGCTCAGCCAGGAGCCTGCTTCTCCCTCTTCCGCTCCCCCTGCTTGTGTTCCCTCTCTCGCTGTGTCTCTCTCTCTCTGTCAAATAAATAAAATCTTTAAAAAAACAAACTTCAGACGGTTGAAGGGCAGGGGAGGGCTTGCTGGGCAAGTTAACAGACAATTTAATAATCTTAATAGTACATTCCAGCCATTGCCAGGCACCAAGGTCACCTTACACCAGCTCCATGCTCCTTGATCCCTGAGGCCTCTAGCATATATTTTTATAGTATAGAGAACCCCATTTTCTCTAACATGAATCTTCAGCCTCCCACATTTCATTCTTCACCTTTTCATCTAAGCAGTGTAGGTGCTTATAAAATATGGACCTCTCTGCCTTCCTTCTGCTTCTTCCAGGTACACAGCACTTTCCATCTTTTCTGTTCACTCACTTGCCAGTTCAGTGACTTGCTCTGGCTCATGAGCTTTGTAATTGGCACAGGACAAATTTATGTCTCAGCAAACTTACAAATTGCTGCATGTAATGGATTTTTGGGATCCTTTATAAATAATTGAAACCATGAATGTTAAATTCTTGAATGCCAAGGGTCTACTGAGTATCAATATTTCATGAAGTTCCATAAAGGACATTATGAATTCCAGCTTTTGTGCCTCTTAAAATATGTTTGAGAACACCTGATCCATAGTATTGATATCTGTGCCTTTATCATTCCTTTCTCTTTTAGAATAAATTAGTGTGTTTAACATATTCTTTGTGAAGATTTAAAAAAAAACAGTGGAGGGAGTTGAAATAATGTTAAACCTGTCTTACCTTTTATTTTCTTTGGTCTATTTTCTATTTTTTAAATGGCAAAAAAATGCATGCTGTTATCAAAAAATACAATGTTAGAGCTTGTGGAGTATAAAGTGGAAATCTTGATTTGCCTTATCCTTCAATCCCATTGGCCTTACTAATATTTTGGTTTGTATCCTTCTAAACCTTTTTGTTTGAATTTTTTTTAAAGATTTATTTATTTATTTGAGAGAGCGAGAATGAGAGAGGGGGGAGGGTTAGAGGGAGAAGCGGGCTCCTCGCTGAGCAGGGAGCCCAATGCGGGACTTGATCCCGGGACTCCAGGATCATGACCTGAGCCGAAGGCAGTCGCTTAACCGACTGAGCCACCCAGGCACCCCTTTGTTTGAATTTATACAAGTAAATACATGCATAGGTAGGGATTTTTTTTTTTTAAAGCTAAATGGAATCATTGTATGTGTGTGTGTGTGTGTGTATATGTGTGAGTGTGTGTGTGTGTGTATATGTAAAATTCTTGTTTAATTAAAAAAATTCTTATATGAAGAGAGAGATCTATTCATTTTCAACCTTTGCATAGTGTTTCTTGGTAAGAATGGATTCTAATTTATTTAACTGCTTCCCTAGTTGTGTCCCTTTTTTCCCTATAATAATTGACAGGATGTTGAGTGGGATTTTTTTTACCCTATCATCCCAAAACTGCTACTGAGGCCCAAAGCTGGGGACAAAAGTACTAATTATAATATCTCATGATTGAAAGGACCCCCCAGCAGTGAGAGTCAAGCCTTTCCCTGTGAGGGAAAAGTATAAGAAGCGTTATTGAAAAGTATAAGAAGCGTTCACCATTCCTACCCCCAGCCTTTGTATAAAGAAACCTGAGAGGCCAGAAGATTTTAAGGTTTGGGGGAGTGCTCTGTTTGTGGGGAGACGTTATGTTCTGTGTTTTTAAAACCAAGAGAGAGGCACTCTAAGACAATTCACCGTGGAGTTTAGAGATTCCAACAGGAACAAGAGACTGGCATTTTATTGGACATTTGCTTAGCCAAGCGATTGCTAACCTGCCCTGTTTCTACCTAAACAGGGAAAGAGAAAATTGGTGAGTTCACCCAGTGGGGACCTGCCAAGAGGGGAGGTGCGTCAGGATCACCCCATTCCCACCACAGAGTTCCAGTCCCTGGCATGTGTCAGTTGGTCCTATAGTGGAGGGAGATGAGATTGGTGTGTAATTGAGCAGCTTGGGAGAAAAAGAGTATGTGTTTTAGAGAGGTGTGGCATGAATACCACCAGCTGAGGGTTAGCTCCAAGAGGTAGCCAAATTGCTTTTACCATCGGTTGTTTATTACTATACAAGAAACATGGTTAAGAACTAGGTTCCTTTTGCAAGGTCTTTAGTCAGTTTGGATAGCCTTTTAAAGGTACGTACTATGTTTTTAAAAAAAGAAAAGACTATCAGGGGCACCTGGGTCGCTCAGTCGGCTAAGCGTCTGCCTTCGGCTCAGGTCATGATCTTGGGGTCCTGGGATTGAGCCCCACTTTGGGCTCCCTGCTCAGCAGGGAGTCTGCTTCTCCCTCTCCTTCTGACCCTACCCCCTACCCCTGCACATGTTCTCTCACTCTCAAATAAACAAATCTTTAAAAAAAATAAAAAAGAAAAGACTATCAAAACATTTAAGTAATGAGTCCCAAAGAAGTCATGCTAATTAGTATCTTCTCAGGAAATGTGAACCATTGGATATTAAGTCGTATCAACACTAGCTTTCTCCAGATGGCAGCCAGCATATACGAGTCCTCCGTTAAAAAATTTTTTTTAATTTAATTTAATTTTATTATGTTATGTTAGTCACCATACAATACATCATTAGTTTTTGTTGTAGAGATCCACGATTCATTGTTTTCATATAACACCCAGTGCTCCATGCAGTACGTGCCCTCCTTAATACCCTTCACCTGGCTAACCCATCCCCCCATCCTCCTCCCCTCTAGAACCCTCAGTTTGTTTCTTGGAGTCCATAGTCTCTCATGGTTCGTCTCCCCCTCCAATTCCTCTCCCCCCCCCCATTTAAACCTTCATATATACTTGTTATGTTGTCAGCACATCCTAGTAGTGGTTACCAGGAGGACTGAGGTTTATCTGAGCTGTGTTTCCACTCCACAGGAAGTTAACTAATTAAGAAGTCATTTTTAATAGGATACGAATAGGCTCACTATTTGTCCTGGTGGTAAGTACAGATTAAAAAGGTTCTGCAGTGCTAATGAGAATGTTTACTTGGTTCAAAACACCTTTTTGGTTAAAATGAAACTTTTATTCAAACCACTTCAAAGGAATCATTTATTTTCTGAGTTAGTCATAGCACAGCTTCATCCAAGTTTTTCTGTGTGAGGGAGGAGCAATTTTACCGTTCAGCTAAAGGGAAAAAGTCATGATTATATTTAGAGGGTAGAAATAAAGTATTACAGTAACAGAAATTATAAAGACAGTGCAAGTTAAGAGCATGACACATTGAATGGGAAGTTTAAAAGATTAGTAGTTTTTTGGGGAAAGATTATATTCAAATGGAAGCAAAGTTGTATTCGCTTATGTTTCATTTGTATTTTTCTGGTTCTTTTTCAGTGAATGTTTGTTGTGATTGTAAAGGTTTGATACAGCTATATATTTTCTTTTTTTTTTTCTTATTTTCTTCTCTTTTTTAAAGATTTTCTTTTTTTAAAGTAATCTCTACGCCCAACATGGGGCTTGAATTCTCAGCCCCAAGATCAAGAGTCACATGCTCTTCTGACTGAGCTAGCCAGGCGCCCCTGTATATTCCTTTTCTAATAACTGTAGATTGTTTTAAAGTTACCAAATTACAGATATGGAAAATGGCATTTTTAATAACTTTAAAATGTGAATCTTAAAGTTTTAAAAATACACATATTGAATGAATCTTGTAGTTTCACAGCTTTTTGCTTAAGTTTACATATTTCTTTTAAAACATATTCCATTTATTTCTAATATCTTTTTTCTGATTTGTCTTTGTAGGCAATGCCAAAGTCATGTTCTGCAATCTTGTTAAGTAATGCAGAGGTGAATGATATGAAGGCTAATATACAGAGAAATGAAATCCCAATAGAGGAACTTGGTAAGGTTCCTGAACATAAAAGTATTGTGAAAGGAACACAAAGTAAAGAAGGCGAGGAGATGAGCTGTTCTGAGAGTCACTTGAGTGCCCAGGACAAGTCCTTCCATGAGGAGTCTCAAGGATCTCCTCCCGAGTCCAGCTCTGATCTCTCCAATCTTGAAACTTTGCATGCAAAGGCAACTGACTCAGTTGCACAAGGTTCTGAAGAAAACAAGGTCAGGAGGACATCTTGCATGTATGGGGCAAACTGCTACAGGTAAAATGAAATTACAGGTAGTGCAGAATTCCGTTATTTCCCTAGCAGGTAGCTATGTAGTATATGTGTATTAAAAGCCTAGTAAAACGCATTGGCCTAAAGGTTAAGAGCTTTATTATGTTTCTACTTGTTTACACTTTCTCAGTATTCAGTCCTGCAAATCTTGCTAGAGGCTTTCCAGATACAGTGGGGGAATGAAATGTTTCATATGTAGACATACTGATTAATGCAAGGACATGAACTAGGGAATCCAGACTTGAGAACTGAATCACCCAGACCTAAATGTCTCCTTATTTAATGTCTTATTTATATATTAGAAAGATGGCCTCATAAATAGTTGTAGTATATAATATAACTCTCAAGAGAATTGTTAAGTTGTGTTTAAGGCATCTTACTATACTTGTGCTTTTCCTTTATATTTTTCTAATTGTGCTTTTGAATCACCATGATGCTTTTATTTTGCTACCATGAGGGTTCTGTACCCACCAGATGTCGTGAGCTTTATTTTTAACAATGTAACACATTGGTTCAATTTCTGGAATAATTAGATGTGTATCGCTTGGTTTCCTGCTCTATCTTACTAATTATTTTTTGTAGTATATCTAGAACTCTAGTATACCCTATTAATTATTTTTTCTAACAGTATATTTGCCACTCTCATAGGAAGAATCCTGTTCATTTCCAACACTTCAGTCACCCTGGTGATAGTGATTATGGAGGTGTACAAGTCATGTGTCAAGATGAGGCTGATGACCGACCTGAATGTCCCTATGGAGCATCCTGTTACAGGTATGTATGCCTGAAATGTTACGTTGTCCTCCTTTTCTCAATCTCTGTTGTATATTCAGAAGAAATTGCAGGCAACTTCTCACTTCAAGCCTTTTAGTCTTTAAACTTCCATAGATAGTAGGTTTTCATTTTGTTATTAGATAAGATTATAATGTTTCTTTTAGATAATTATAAACTGTTGAGTTAACCTTGTAAATGCCTGAAATTGCTCCTCATTTCTAACTTTCTAAAATGCAAATCAGTTAACTGAAAAGCTGTCGATGCTATCCCTTGTACACTCTACCCATACTCCTTAGTGTGACATAAATCAATTCAGGATGTTATCTCTGCTTTCCTCAACTCTTAACACTCTGCCGTTCTTGCCAACACATGAAACTTGATCCTAAAAGAAGAGCGCCTTCTCCTTTTTCCTTTCATAGAATCTTTTGCCTGTCTGTATCAAGCACAGTAGAATTTATCTTACGAGATTGTGTTTGTTTCTTTACTGGAATGGCATCTCCTCTAGACTGTGAGTTTCTTGACAGCAAGGACTGTTTTATCCTTGTATCAGCAACTTTGTTCAATGAATGAATAAACTTGAAATAAATCAAACTACCAAGCAAAGAAGTGATTCCAATCTTAGCTTTAATTCCAGACAGCCATCTTTCTTAGATAAATTTGGAACAACTTACTGAACCTACTGGTCTATTTGAAGTTGTCACTATTTCTATGATTGCGGTTTTCAGTAAGAAGGCAGGATCATCTTCTGAGCTTGGAAAGAAAAATCGAAAAAAGAAAAAAGCCCTACCTTGTGCCAGAACACCTGTGAGGCCAGTTATCTCCCCGCCAGTCCCTCTGTTTCTGTTTTGTTTGCCCTTCGAGTGCCCTTGACACGGTTCTATAGAAAGAGAGGTCAGAGAGAGACTGCCCTTCCTCTAAACATCCTGAATGCAATCCTGCAAACAGTTCTGTCTCTTGCTTCTAGCAGCTGAGGTGCTTCTATACCTGGCTTGGCTTCCAGACTCGGCTGAGCGGCAGGCCAACGGTTTCCAAACCTGGTCAACCATCGGAATCACAGCAGGGAGCAAAAAATAAAAGTGGGGGGGCACCTGGGTGGCTCAGTCGTTAAGCGTCTGCCTTCGGCTCAGGTCATGATCCCAGGGTGCTGGAATCGAGCCCCACATCCGGTTCCCTGCTCAGCAGGAAGCCTGCTTCTCCCTCTCCCACTCCCCCTGCTTGTGTTCCCTCTCTCGCTGTGTCTCTCTCTGTCAAATAAATAAATTTAAAAAAATCTTTAAAAAAAAAATTATTTGAAAATTGCTATGTTTCATTCCAGCAAAACATCTTGTAGACTTAGGCATATACAGGTGACATATTCATGAAAAAGGGGCATTGCAGGCATTGGTAAAAGTATGAATTTTTAAAATTAATTTTATTGAGGTAAGGGTATCTATCTAGAGAAGGAAAATTAGAACCCTATTTCATACCATAGTCAAAAACTGGATTCCAGATGGATCGTAGAACTAAATGTGAAAGGAAAAAAAACAATAAAGCTTTAAAGATATGTATAAGAATATTATTTCATGATCCCAGACTAGGAATTGTTTTTTAGAACAAGATATAAAAAGCAATAACTAATATGGAAAACATTTAATTATTTGACTACATTAAAATTAAGATTTTTTTATACATCAGTAGACACTATTAAGAGAGTGAAGATAAACTACAGGGTGAGAAAAAAAAATTGCAACCACATAACTGACAGTAGGCATATATCCAGAATACAGAAAGAAGACTTACGAATTGCTATTGGTTTTCTCTTAGTGACATGTACAGGCTTTTTGTCCAAAAGGAAATGGTGAATTTCCTTAAGGTGAATAAACTTATGAAAAAGTACTCAGTATCATTATTAATTAGGAAAATTTCACACACATACACCCCCTTGAAGTAACTAATTCCTTGCTCCCGTTTATTCATTCATCAAATATTTTTTAGGAAAATTTCACACACATACACCCCCTTGAAGTAACTAATTCCTTGCTCCTGTTTATTCATTCATCAAATATTTTCCAAAGAATCTTCAAATGCCAAGTACCAATGAAACAATGTTGAGTGAGATTACTTGTAGAACAAATGTGTGTGTGTCTCTCTCTCTATCTTTTTAAAATAAGACAGCCTTGGGGTACCTGGGTGGCTCAGTTGGTTAAGGGACTGCCTTTGGCTCAGGTCATGATCCTGGAGTCCCAGGATCGAGTCCCGCATTGGGCTCCCTGCTCCGCAGGGAGTCTGCTTCTCCCTCTGCCCCTCCCGCCTCTCATGTGCGCTCTCTCTCTCTCAAATAAATAAAATCCGTATCCCTTTAAAAAATAAAATAAAATAAAATAAGACAGCCTTTCACAGCTCGTGGCACAATGGCCATATACCTTTTCATTTTTAGGGAATATTTTAGGGAACTTTTGTAATGCAGAATTTTATACATCTACACAAGTGGGGTTAATGTAGAACAAGTTCCAATGAAGCCATAACTCATTTTCAAGTCTTGGCCAGTATTGTTTCATCTATACTTCCCTCTCTTCTACCTGCTACCTCTACGCCTAGATTATTTTGAAGTAAACCCTTGATATTGTATCTTTTCCTCCCATTTTCTTCATGGGTATCTTAGGGTATATTATTAAAAGATAAAGACTATAAAAATATGCTATGACACCATTATTAAATAAATATCATTTAGATCTGTCAGGCATCCCAGTCCTCTTATAGTTGCATTTTCTTCCTTTCTTTCTCCCTTTCTCTTTTTCTTTCTTTCTTGCTTTCTTTTTCTTTCTTTCTTTCATTCTCTCTCTCTCTTTCTTCCTTTTAAATTTTTTTTCTTTGAATTAGGATCCAGTTAAGGTCCATATATGGCAAAAGGTGGCCATGCTTCTTAAGTTATTTAATCAATAGGTTCCTCTTCTTTTTTTTTTTTTCTTGCAATATATTTGTTGAAGAAAGCAATCATTTGTTCTGAGGAGTGTCTGATTGTCTGGATTTTGCTAACTGCATTACCAAATTGTCATTCAGTATGTTCTACTGTATTTCCTAATAATTGGTAATTAGAACTAGAGACCTGATCAGATATCATTTCTAAAAATTGTAAAAGTTGTCTGGTCTTATGAATATCATGTCCCTCTTAGTCACTAAAATGCTTCTTGCTGTAAAGTCTACTTTGTCTAATACTTACAAATGTTTAGGGATTGCTCTAGATATACTGTTATTATTGATTTATAATTTAGTTTCATGTGGTCATATAACATTTTTTAGAATTTAAAATTTATTGAGATTTGGTTTTGGTCCAGCAGATGGTCTATTTTTGTTGGGACATGCTAGGTGCACTGAAATATATATTCTGTGATCTGGGGAATAAGGTTCTGTAAGTGTCAATTTGGGCAGATAGTTTTAGTGTTGTTCATATATTTATTATCTTTGCTGATTTTTTTCTGTAGTTGTTCTATTAGTCACTGAGAAAAGGATGTGAGACTCTCCACTGTAATTGTGGGTTTGTCTATTTCTTCTCTTAATTCTGTCAGTTTTTCTTAATGCACCAACTGTGGTCTTTCCTCAGTGGAAAAGCCTTAAAAATGGAAAACTCACTCAGAGCTGCTCCCTTTTTCCATGTGTGGACTCTCTTCTGGTTTCTGCCTGCTTTTGGTAGCTATCCATTTCCTTAAGATTATTGTTTTTATACTTTTAACAGAGTATAATTGTTTCCTGTGGGAGGTTTGGTCTGATACATCTACTCTGTCATTACCAGAAGTAGAACTCCTATTTTGTGTGATATAATACAGCTAGCTGCTCCAGCTTCTGTTGGTTAGTGTTTGTGTGATAATATTTTTCATCCTTCTATTTTCAACCTCTGTCCTTATATTTAAAGCATGTCTCTTACATATGGCATATAATTGGTTCACTGGTTTTATTTATTTATTTTTTTAGATTTTATTTATTTATTTGACAGAGACAGACACAGCCAAGAGAGGGAACACAAGCAGGGGGAATGGGAGAGGGAGAAGCAGGCCTCCTGTGGAGCAGGGAGCCCAATGTGGGGCTCAATCCCAGGGCCCTGGGATCATGACCTGAGCCGAAGGCAGACGCTTAACACCTGAGTCACCCAGGCGCCCCATTGGTTTTATTTTTAATCCAGCCTGATAGTCTGCTTTTTCAATGGCTTGTTTAGTCAATTATATTTAATACAATTACTGATATTTTTAATTTTGCCATTTTGCTATTTGTTTTCTATTTGTCCCATATATTCCTTGTTCCTTTATTCTTTTTCTGACCTCTTTTGGATTGAGCAAATGATTTCATTCCATTTTTTTCTCCTCCATTAACTTTTTATTTATAAATTCTTTTTTTCAGTAGTTACATTTGATTTTAATAGGCATCACTGACTTATTACAGTCTACCATACTGTGATTCTTTTACCACTTCTGAAACAGAACAGTAATCTTTTATCAGTTTAAGTCCATTTACTTCCTCCTCTGCCCTTTTTAAAAAATATTGCTGTCATAATTTTTACCTTTACACATGTTAACTTGTAAGGCATTGCTATTTTCTTAAATTTTAAGCATCAGCATTCTCTTATATTTATTGACACATTTATCATTTTGGGTGGCCTTCTTTTATTTCTGAAGTTTTATCCTTTCATCTGGGATCATTTTCTTAGTCTTAGGAACTTCTTTTAGTATTTCGCTAGTGAAAATCTAGAGTTCCTCCAGATGACTCAAATCTTATTCTTTAACCCACGCCAAGAATTGGCAAAGACCTCTAGGGAAGAAAACAGCCAGTGATTGTCAGATAACCTAGGAAGGGCTTTTTCTCAGGAATTTTAGATAATCTAAAATTCTCATTGCTCCCACAGTTCTGTCATAAAAATAATTTTTACAGTTTATCAGGGTTTTTTTCCTAGTTGTTAAGGTATTGGCCTGCCATGATGTCCTGTGTCCTTCCCAGAAGCAAAATCCAAATGTGCCTATTCTTGAGAAGAA